CACTGTCATAATCATCGGTGACCGAAACTGATCTTCCTATTTAATATAATCCGTATAATCAATACTATTGATCACAATTAATATGTCAATTAATATATCACAATTAATATTAATATTGAATACAGTTACTTACATTAGAAAAACTGATTTCGTTAATAACAGAAAAGCATAATAATGCGCATTAGTAAACAACTAAATATTTTTATTATAATATTTTAATTTCATTTTTTATTATTTTTTCCTATTATAAAATATAATCCTAGTATAAAATATAGATATGAACAGGAAGACAGCTATAATACGCTTAGCAATAAATGTGTTAAAATAATGTATAATATTATTATAAATAATTATTATAAAGTATTATATTACTTAAATATTATATAAGTTTATGTAAGAAAAATACTTTTATTTGTGGCATTTTATGATCAATCTCATTTTTTATTGCATAATTAAATATGCTTAGTCACCTAATATTTTCAACTTGGATAAACATTTAACAAAATACATAAAAATCTGAAAATGAGTGCTAGAAAATATTGATGCCAGTAATAAATTGTACACACTTACCTGTAGACTTGGATGACAGCCTAGTTCCAACAAAGTTCGTACAACACCAGCGTGTCCTTTGTTAACCGCAATATGAAGAGCCGTCTGACGTCTCTTATTTCGAGCATTTAAATCGGCGCCAGCACCAGCGAGGAGCGCCATAACACCTGGTTCATCTCCAAAGGCAGCATGATGCACGGCTCTATCACCATCTTTATCCTGTTTCCCAAAAACATGTAAATAAATGCAATCCGATATTTTCATTCAACTTATGAAAAATACTTACTTCCATTTCTACATCTGCATTGTATCGGAGAAGTATTTTAATAACTTCTAAGTGACCGTTTTGACTCGCAGCTTGCAAAGCGGTGTGACCAGCGAATACACCATTAACATCTGCTTCCGGCCGTTTTAAGCATTCTTCGCATTTAGCTGCGTCACCATTCGCTGCAGTTTTTACTAATTCTTCATTGACATCACCCGAAACATGTGTCTCGAATAATTTCTTTAGTAACGCTGATAATCGTTCTGAAAAGTAAATGCACAAGTTATAATGCGTATTTAAAAAAGCAAAGTGTATAATTTATAAAATAACAAATTAGTTAAATTTATTGCTCACTTACCACCGCTACTATTTCCTGGAACACTTCCGTCACTGCTAGCAACTTTTGTGACAGCTTGAGGATTATACGTCCATGATGTGCTACAAACTTCGACTTTTAAATCTCCATCGTGATATATTTGCTGTACTCTACCTATCTTTCCCAAAGTCTAGAAAAAATCATTCAGATTTAATCATGAGATGTCAAATAAAATTAAGTTTCATAATTTTATTATTTTAAAAGCCTTACTGGAGCCATTGCTTCGGCCCATTCCCCATGACCACGCTGGAGCAATTTAATTTTTTCTATATCATGGCATATTTGAACCAAATCTCCGACAGCAAATGTCTGATTGTCGGAACTTGAACTAGTAACAGGAACAGGTATTTGAACTTTAGTGAGTACTGCAGGATTAAAAGTCCATCGATTACCACTTGGATAAGAAACAACAATGTCATGATCTTCATCGATACCGACGACCGTTCCAGTAGTGCCGAGGCATTCAAACATGCCATCCGTCCAACCTCCATGACCATGTTGTAACGACTGTACAATTTCCAATTCTAAATCAACATTAACCTGTAGAAAAAAAGAAATAATTATTTTTTGTGTAATATGCATAAAAGATGTATTATGAAGATTATAAATAACTATAAATAACTACAAATAACATTAACTAATCACCTGATCACCAATTTGTAGTCCGTGAGGTCCTGTTCGACCTGGACCTTGTTCACCCAATAATGGCAAGTGATCCCTATATACTGTTTGTCCTTTTGCATCACTAACTACTTTTAAATCAGCCTAGATATAAAATTTACATTAATATAAAGTTATTTTTGATGCAATTAATATTAATATTATAATACCAACCATTCCTTCAAAGCCAACTCTGTACAAATTTTTAGCACCATTATCCCAAATAACATAAGCAGCTGAACGTGGACTAGCTGCAGACCAGTCTTGTATTTCATTAACTTTTCCTCGACGACCATTTCCACCATCCTGATCTTCCCACTGCCAGTCCACGCCTCGTACAACTCTTGCGCCAGGAAATATACCACGAATTGGAATCTATATTAAAATATTAATTAATAAAATAAAATATAATATAATAAAATATAATATAGTGAATTTTCAAATAAGATTGGGAATTATTATTTTACCTTTTTACTTTTTCGACGAGGTTCCAATAAAACTCTCTCACTTCCTGGCGTAGCAATACGAAAAAATCTATGTCGTAAATGGTGTTTATCTCCATGATAACAAATCGAACAAAGATCATAATTGCCACATTCAGCGCACTTCCATCTTATTCCAAAGATAGGTTGCTGACGACAAGTATCACACATTGTGCCATCATGCTTCACTCCTGTCGGTGCGGAATCCAGTATACGTAGATCAAAGGCACCAGAACATCGATAATTAGCTGCAGTTCCATTATCCCAAACAACCACAACTTCTTCTGGTGACTCAAAATTTCTAACAGTACCCACATGACCTTCGCCACCATCCTTTTAAATAGATACAATTAAAAAATAATTAAAATACCTTTTAAAAACTGCTCTTTAGATTTTTATTACTAATCTGAAAAAATTTATTGACAATATGGCTATGCTTGCCACTAAAACATACATGATTCAAAGTATAGATGTTGCTTCTATTATTACACAATTATTTGTCTTTTGAAAACCACATAAATTTTATGTAATATATTGTAAAACTTAATAATAATTTAGACAAATGCGTAATCAATTTGTGATTCAGTAAAATATAAAATGGCACACGAAATAAACAATATCGGAATAACCTTACATCGAGTGAAATTCTTTCTTTATGGACTCAAATTTCTTGAAAAAAATTTTGAACGGCTATCTCAAAGGACCGAAAGCATGAGAGTATTTGTTGCGAATAATTCTGCAGGAGGAGAGCATCGTGTTGACACGAAAAAATCATGTTTAATGCAGTTAACCTCTCGTTCTAACCTGTTTTCCCCATTTCCATTCCGGTCCTCGAATCACTCGGGCGCCGACGCCCTCCATCATAAAACGCGTCGTACGAGTACCTGTACTCGCACCGGCCTCCATCGTTTGTTGACAACAATTTTTTCACGTATCTCGTTCAAAAGTCGAGGAACACGACACCTTCACTTAGCGCGAATACCAAAAAATATCGCTTTGACAATGCGTCAAAACACGTGTTGCCAACGCACGTTCGTCTAGGAATGTAACTCTTCACCCGGCACTCGCGCGATGTGGATTTCGAATATTTTCATGTCATTATGCGTCTCTTTGTTACGTTATTTTACAGAAATTTATTTTTTATCTCGTTTCTCTCGTTTTTTAGGCAAACCGTGTAAAATGTATGTATGCTCATGTTCTTGTATCTTTCCGCGAAATTGATCGCGCGTGGCTGGCTTGCTAGAACCAGACAATTTGTTTCTTGAGGTTGGCAGTCCTAAACTTGAAACTTCAGGCGAATATTCAAACAATTAAATGTGTCCGAAATTTTTTTATGAAATTCTTTAAAATTGAGGTTCACATTTTGTTACAATGCTAGTAAATAAATTCGAAAAAATACTCTTACTTATTCTTATTTATATTTTTCAATTTTTTTACTCTACTTAATAAATGTAAAAAAAGATTGATGTCTCTAAAACTTGCATTATGAATAAATTTATGCAATTTCCTGCTGCTAACAGCACATATAAATTTTAAAAATGTTCAAAGAAAAATTAAATTATAATTATTCTCTTTATATTCGAGATATACAATGTATTTATTAACAAAAAATATTATTAATATGTCCAATTTTTTTTCCCTAAATAAATATTGAGATTATAGAAAGATTGTATTCTAGTATATATACTAGTATACATATATATATATGTATGTATATGCACTAGTAAGTATAGTTACTTATATTTAATATGTTGGATAAATAGTTGGACGTAGATGTATATTCCTCAAATAATAAAAAACATAATAAACATTTTCAATAATTTTTTATATATAACATGATATGATATGATATATTATATATCTGGAATGTATATGTAATATATATGAAAACGGATAATATAGAAAATTTATTTTTACGATATTCTTTAAACAGTTTTGGAAATCTACATACATTTCTATTAGAAATTAAATTAGCTCGCACTACACTATCATTTAATTAAATAAAATATTGTTATTGCTTTCTATTATTATTTTCCGCCAAATTAAAATTTTTGCTAGAGAGAAGGATGGCAGACCATTTGTATGCGAGGTACGAGAAGAAACACAGGCTGACATACAAAATCATTTATTCATATAAAAGGACACTTTATACTAGCACGTACTGTCGAACCTAGACTACTTCCATATAGTCGGCACCGCCGGAAATCTCTCCCGGCTCGCTCTCGTTTATCCCGTTTATCACATATAGTATAATACGCGGCGAATGATATCGAATTGTATTCCGTATAGCACTGAAACATAGTACTCACGTTTAAAGAGGAGGCGTCAGGATATATCCGCGAGGATATATCTTCATTGACCGTCACGTGCTTACTGCATTACGCGCGCACGCGCGCGTATACACACGTGACCGATTCAAATTCTATATATATGTATGTATGTGTCTCACGATTATTTTGCTGCCTTCCCCAATTTTGACACTGTCTTACATGTACTATGTATCCAACTTCTATGTATCCAACACGGTCCTATATCTTACGCCATTACAGCTATATGCATAATATCGTACTTATTATCATAAACACTCGACATTCATATTTACCTTTCGATAATTATTATTCGCTATGATTGAAGGGGAAAAGGGATTGATATCAAGATATAAATACTAGATTTGGACTACAATCGTTAGATATTGGCTTGGAAAGAACTGACTCGACTATAGCCGTTATCAGCCGCGTAACTTTCAATGAGCCTTGAGCAAATTACAATTTAATTACTTTCACGTTGCTCGCCGTAAAAATTGTGTCGACGTGATTAATTTCTTTCGCGATGGAAGACAAGCTCAAGATCGCGCGCTTTCGTCGATGTGATCTTAGCTAATTGAGAGTTATGACACTGATCCTTCTTCTTTTCTCGATCTATTCGAACGCACATTCGTCTGACTGTGAAAAGATGCATGAAGAGTTCCCTACCGTTGTCTCGCTTTCAGCTACGAGTATTTGAAATTTCGATTCAACTTTCCCTCGACGAGAACGTCGCAACGTTGATTTTCATATCGTAACTTCATTGTGATTATAAAACACAAAAATGTTTCATACGTATATCAAAAATTTATTATCGATTATTGCGTGGGAGATTTGTTTCGTTCATATTTAAGAACAGTGACAGTAATAATATGGCCACTTTGTATATCACGATCGGGTTGTCGTGGAAGCTCCATGAATATGTTGGTCTTTCAAGTCGAGAGAGATCTTTTACGTGAAGAAAAAGAGAAGAAAAACGCTTTCGTGATAGTTCTTCGCGAGAAGCTGTTCTCCCGGCGGCAGATACATGCTTAATTATTAATGAACGAATAACTAGAACTAACGGGCCGCTGATATCAGGAAGACCGAACGTTGACTTGTTTTCGTTCGATTATTATACAGACAGTATGCGCAGTATTTTGTGTTTTATATATATATATATATATATATATATATATATA